AAGGGTGACAATACAGAGCTCTGTGCGACACCCCAGACCTGTCCCCACACTGGTGCCACTGGAGACAGTTTCAAGGATTATGTCAGTGGGAGACACTGTCCTTTCACATACCCGCATATGACTTTATAATTTTCCTCTGGGCTTATGACATGAGAGAAGAGTCCCACTAAGAATATCACCTTTTTATGAGTAAAAAGGACAAAATCAAGGATATTAAAGGGAAGGGGAAAGTTCCAGGCTTGGATTTAGATTAGGGATGAATTGGAAGCAGGACAAGCAGGTGGAGAACATACTTTTCTCCCAATTCAGCTTTCAAGACTTCCAGAAATGAAACTCGATTCTGAGGTCACCAGAGTTCTGGGGCAACTCATTTGGTGAAAGGCCACACCTGGTCACTCAGTGTCCCAACACTGTGCATCGATTGGTCTTTGTGAGATCTGAGCATCTTCTTCATTCTTGATGTCCTCTAGGGGAGATTTCCTCCTAAGAAATATCCCTCAGGGAACATCATGTTGATTCTGGGGCAAGGAGAGAGAGTAGCCTGTTTTGCATGAAGTACCTTCTCCTAATAAGCCTGGATAAGTGAAAGGTCTCCACGGACACCACATTCCAGCTCAGGAAACTGAGGAAGCCACATCATATGAGGTTCCCCACCATGGCCAGGCTTGTGTTTCTTCCCAGGTTCCTCACTAATGGCTCTCGTCAGAGGAACTGATTCTTCTTCCATGAGGAGTGGGGCACATAAAAGCAGTATCTCAGGGAGAATTTTATGTCCTATAATAGCACCTGTCTCTCTTGTTTTGGGGGAAGATTCTCAGATTGTGATCACCCAGGAGCCATCACTGTCAGTGTCTCTAAGTGGGACAGTCACCCTCATTTGTGGCCCTAGTTTGTGTCAGTCCCTAAAATTAACTGCTCTGACTGGTAACAGCAGACTCCAGGCCTGGCTCCCGTTATCTGCCAGACAAACAACATACCCTCTGGGGTCCCTGATCACTTACCTGGATTCATCTCTGGGAACAAAACCATCCTTACAATCACTAGGACTAAACCTAAGGATGAGGCCAATTATCACCATATGCTAAATACTGGGAAAGAACAACCAGAACCTCTCATGTGCTCAGAATAGCTCAGCCCTTAGGGGCAGAAGAGAATTTAAGGGGGTGGAACATACAACACCCCCATGAGAAGGGAAGTCCCCTGAACCTATACTCCAGTCACATGGCTCATTGCCACATTGCCCCATCCTCTCTCTCCCAGGGTGTGTCCATATCTTGAGTGTGACCTTCTGAATGGGATTCCTCTCTCAAATTCTGCCTAGATGGATGGGAAGTGGACTCAGGTCCACAATATATCCACCAACAAGGAAACTCAGTGACTTCACTGTTTTTGTTGTTGTTGTTGTTGTTGTTGTTTGTTTGTTTTTGTTTGTTTGCTTGTTTTTGTGATGTTTCTCATTCAAATCTGTCAACAAACAACCTCAGAAGTAGATTTCAATACAGGACTCAAGAAGCAAGAAGTGTCTCAAAAATACAACCTAACCTTACACTTAAAGAAGCTAGAAAAATAACAGGAAATAAAGCCTAAATTCAGCAGGGGAAGATAAATAAAAAATATTAGATCAGAAATCAATGATATTGAAATAAAAAAATAGAGTATAACATTTTAAGAAGGCAAGGAACTAGTTCTTTAAAGGAATTTAAAAAACTGATATACACCTAGACATACTTATCAAAAAGATCCAAATACATAAAATCATAAAAGAAAGAGCTGACGACACAGCTAACACTGAAGAAACATGAGGAATTATAAGAAATTATTATGAACAAATATATGCCAAAAAAGTTAGGTAGGCTTTCCAGAAGAAAAGGATGCATTATTAGAAACATAAACTACCAAAACTAAAACAGAAAGAAACAGAAAATCTGAATAGACACATACGCAGCAAAGAAATTGAAGCAGTAATCAAAAATATCCCAACAGGAGAAAGAACAAGAAAGAAATCCTAAACCCAGCAGGAGAATAGAAATCATAAAGATCAGAACAAAAATCAATGAAATCGAAACCAAAAAAACAATATAGCAAATCAATGAAACTAGGAGCTGGTTCTTTGAAAGAATTAATAAGATTGATAAACCCCTGGCCAGACTTATCAAAAAGAAAAGAGATAGGACCCAAAAATAAAATCATGAGTGCAAGAGGAGATATCACAACCAACACCAAAGAAATACAAACAATTATACGAACATACTATGAGCAATTCTACGCAAACAAATGTGACAATCTGGAAGAAATGGATGCATTCCTAGAGACATATAAGCTACCACAACTGAACCAGGAAGAAATAGAAAACCTGAACAGACCCATAACCAGTAAGGAGATTGAAACAGTCATCAAAAATATCCAAACAAACAAATTCCCAGGGCCAGACGGCTACCCGGGGAAATTCTACCAAACATTTAAGGAAGAACTAATTCCTACTCTCCTGAAACTGTTCCAAAAAATAGAAATGGAAGGAAAACTTCCAAACTCATTTTATGAGGCCAGCATCACCTTGATCCCAAAACCAGACAAGGATCCCATCAAAAAAGAGAACTACAGACCAATATCCTTGATGAACACAGATGCAAAAATTCTCACCAAAATACTAGCCAATAGGATTCAACAGTACATTAAAAGGATTACTCACCACGACCAAGTGGGATTTATTCCAGGGCTGCAAGGTTGGTTCAACATCCGCAAATCAATCAATGTGATACAACACATTAATAAAAGAAAGTACAAGAAACATATGACACTCTCAATAGATGCTGAAAAAGCATTTGACAAAGTACAGCATCCCTTCCTGATCAAAACTCTTCAAAGTGTAGGGATAGAGGGCACATACCTCAATATTATCAAAGCCATCTATGAAAAACCCACCACAAATATCATTCTCAATGGAGAAAAACTGAGAGCTTTTCCGCTAAGGTCAGGAACATGGCAGGGATGTCCATTATCACCACTGCTATTCAACATAGTACTAGAAGTCCTAGCCTCAGCAATCAGACAACAAAAGGAAATTAAAGGCATCCAAATCGGCAAAGAAGAAGTCAAACTATCACTCTTTGCAGATGATATGATACTTTATGTGGAAAACCCAAAAGACTCCACTCCAAAACTGCTTGTACGGGAATTCAGTAAAGTGTCAGGATATAAAATCAATTGCATTTCTCTACACCAACAACAAGACAGAAGAAAGAGAAATTAAGGAGTCAATCCCATTTACAATTGCACCCAAAACTATAAGATACCTAGGAATAAACCTAACCAAAGAGGCTAAGAATCTATACTCAGAAAACTATAAAGTACTCATGAAAGAAATTGAGGAAGACACAAAGAAATAGAAAAATGTTCCATGCTCCTGGAATGGAAGAACAAATATTGTGAATGTCTATGCTACCTAAAGCAATCTACGCATTTAATGCAATTCTTATCAAAGTACCATGCATTTTTTTTCAAAGAAATGGAACAAATAATCCTAAAATTTATATGGAACCAGAAAAGACCTCGAATAGCCAAAGGAATATTGAAAAAAAAGCCAAAGTTGGTGACATCCCAATTCCGGACTTCAAGCTCTATTACAAAGCTGTCATCATCAAGACAGTATGGTACTGGCACAAAAACAGACACATAGATCAATGGAACAGAATAGAGAGCCCAGAAATAGACCCTCAACTCTATGGTCAATTAATCTTCAATAAAGCAGGAAAGAATGTCCAATGGAAAAAAGACAGCCTCTTCAATAAATGGTGTTGGGAAAATTGGGGGGGGGCATGGTGTCTGATGTCAGCAGAGGAAACTGGGCTGCTCTTGAGAGATCAGTGGTTTACCTTTTGGTCAGGAAGACCAGGAAAATCTATCACTGGCCCTTGCATATTTAGGAAGCAGAGTCCTCACTGTGGTTGACTATCCCCAAAAGCAACATGAGCCCTCAGAACTGAATCACATATGCCTTATATTTTAATTCCAATATGTCAATCATATTTATAACTCATCCTGAGAAAAAGAACCAACTCTGAGCCTCATCAACCCCCTTCATCCTCCTGCCAGTTCTCCTAACTAATAGGCTCTTCTCTGGACTTCTAGGTCCTTCTAATCCCCAACAGAACAAAAAGGGAAAGGGATTTGAAAATGCACCTTGATAGTCACATCCACTTGTTTACACGGTGTCTTTATTTTGTTTTTAATTTCACTGATTTCCTTTTTAAATAAGCACTATTCTCAATGTGGGGCTGTAACTCACAACCCTGAGATCATTGTGTGTTTTATCAGCTGAGCCAGTCAGGTACACAGTATCTGTTTCATTTCTGAACATGAGTCACACTTGTTTCTATTTGTTATACCCAAAGTGGACAGTTGTTTTAGGATTTCATGGTGAATCTCTGACCTTTCCTCCTCAAAGCCTACAGTTACACTGAAGGACTTTATGGATTAGACAGCTTCTTAGAACAGACAATGTTGGTCTCTTCAGCCTGGAGGGTCACTATTATATGCACCATGAAGCCTGTATGCTTCTCCATGTTTGCCAGAAAAAGGTTTAAGGGTTAAGTGAGAGGACACCCTTTTCCTTCACCCCCAAGATGGGTACTCTGAGATTCCTAGGGGACTCCCTGTTGGGGGAGTGACCACTAAGGTCCAACAAGGAGACATTCAGGGAGAGCAGAAAGTTTTCCCAGGTCTGGAATGGATTTGGAATGATCTAGAAGCAGGGATAAGATTTGGAGAATACACCTCAGCCTTTCCAGAGAGGAGACTTGGCTGAAGTCACCTGGTATGAGAAGGAGCGGACTAGGTGAATGATGTCATCCCTGTCAATGAGTATTCCAGTCATCCTGCAATTTTTGGTTTGTGTGAGTTCCCAGCTTATGCTTCTTTCAAATTCTCCTGCAGGCTACAGCAGGGTAACCCTGGGGAAGGAAGAGAGGGGAAGTTGATTTGCATGAAGCAATTAATGGGTCAGAGAGGCATGAAAATGCCCAGGGACACCATACCCTAGCCAAGGAGCCTGAGGAGCCTGCATCCTGTGAGGGTCCCCACCATGGCCTGGACTGTGTTTCTTCTTGGGCTCCTCACTTATGGCTCAGGTCAGGGAAAGGTACCCTTCATCCTTGAGGGGCACCTAAAATCAAGGTCTTGGGGTGACCTAGTCTCCAATAATAAAACTTGTTTCTCCTTTTGGTTTTAGGAGCAGATTCTCAGAATGTGGTGACCCAGGAGCCATCAGTGACCATTTCTTCAGGAGGCACAGTCACACTTACCTGTGCCCTTAGTTCTGGCTCAGTCTCAACAGGTCACTACCCAAGCTGGTACCAGCAGACTGCAGGCCAGCCTCCTCACATGATTATATACAACACAAACAGCTGTCCCTCAGGTGTCCCTGACTGCTTCTCTGGGTCCATCTCTGGTAACAAAGCCGCCCTCACCATCACCGAGGCCCAGCCTGAGGATGAAGCTGATTATTACTGTGTTCTGTATTTTGGTGGTTATACTCACACAGTGATTTAAATCAATGTGGAAGTGCAACCAGAACTGCCTCATGGGACAAAACTGCTCAGTCTTAGAGGCAGGAGATTAAGTGAGGGGGAATAGTCAACAACACCATGGGAAGGGAGGTTCCCTTGCCCCATTCTCCTCTCCAGTGGTTCCTGGTCATATGCCCCATTCTCAACTTTACCAGGGTGTGTCCATCTCTCCAGTGTGACCCCAATAGTCCAGGATTCATCCCTCCTACTCTGTTTATAGTTATGGGAAGGGGATTCACATCCAAAATACATCCACAAACAGGGAGATTCAGTGAGCTCACTGCTCCTTGTGAGATACTTCTTATTTAAATGACATTAACTATCATGTCCTCATTCAGTAATTTGATGATGGAGACCAAATCATATGGAACATGTCTTCATCTGGATAGGAAATGAGGTGGATCCATAGCCCATGTGCTGTTCTGTTCCACATGCCAGATGCTTCTAGTCAGTGTGCTGTGAAGATGATGAAGGAGAAGAAACATTTGGAACAGTTCACTATGAATGCTACCTGAGAGAGTTCATTCTCTTCTGATATCAATGCTCCACAATTTTTATTTCTTCTAATTTGGGTCATCACTTAATTAACTATGGCAGTGTTTACTTTATTAACAGTGTAATTTAAAAACTCCTTGAAAAGTTAAGAACAAAGATGTGCCATATTTGTAAAATTGCCATTATTTTTTCTTAATTTGGAAAGCATGTGCTCTTTGAGAAATTAGAAAATCCATCTATATGAGGAAGTCGGGTCACAAGGTCATATAGCCCATTGATGTTTGTGGACTGACAGTGAGCTGAATGTTAGTCCTGCCCCAACATCATTTCCAGCCGGAGCCAAGGTTTGGTCAATTGACAGAAGGGGGCGCTGAGTGCCTTTCCCAGTTTCTGCTCAGTGAGGGCTCCCTGCTGTGTAATCCCCCAAAAGTCACCAGGCTGAGGAATTAGTATCTGTGTGTACTGCTCTTGGCTTAGCCAATGTAGCCCATCTGGCTGGGCAGAGGGTCATGCTCACTGGTCTGTGGTCCCAGATCCCAGAAGCTGCTTCCTGCCTGGTACCTTCCAGGGGAGAAATTCTGAGGTTCATCCTCAGGCTCTAATCTAAGAACAAAGGATACAACAGATTCTCCAGGAGGAAAATTTTCATGTAAGTAGTCCTTCCCTTTTGGTCACTGGAGAATAGAAAAGAAGCCTGGCCACTCAGCCCCGGCTTGGCACTCAGAAACTTCTATCCCCAAGGCCTGGACTTCTGTCCTCATCGTGCTCCCTTCTCACTGCTCATGCACAGAGAAGCCTCAGAGAACTGATTTTGACATGTGTTATAATCAGATGACAAAATGGGACAAGAAAATGATGTGATCCTCAGAGGGGACTGCTGCTGAGGGATTGCTGGGGATGGAGAAGGAGTTGGAGGGAGATACTGTAGCTCTAGGTCTGATCCTGGAAGGAGACATGGAAGGGAGGCTCGGGTAGGAAGAGCCTGGGACCAGAGGTCTGCGCATGTCAACAGGGGTGGGGAAGGTCCTGGCACCTGAGGGGCATTTGTGGAAACTTGTTCCCCCAGGAAAAGCCAGACTCAATGATCCCTGAGCTCATATTTGCCTGTAACCAACAAAGGAGCAGTGGGGCTGTCAGTTACCTAGAGTCCTACCTGTAGGGTTTCCTGGGAGGGAACACTGAGACCTTCACTTCCAGGGCCACTACAACTGACCTTTACTACCGTCTGCCATCCTCAGGACAAGGGCTGTGCTGCCCTGCATCTGCCTCCTCTTCCCTTTGGACTCCAAATTATGTGAAGCTGAGGTGTCTCAGGGCATTAGAGGTTTTGTCCCTTGCATAGACCAGTGCCTCTGCCACAAGCCACCTGCCTGGGAGCGAAGGGTCTGTGGGAGAGCTACCCCTCTTTACAGTCAGGTAAGGGGCCACAGTGCAGTCCTCAGAGCTTGGAGTATCAGTCACTGCAGCCCTTCTTCTCTCTGAATTATTATAAATTTTCCACACTTTCACACCTTGATCATCATGTGACACAGGTCAACACACATATCACCTGCCTCCCATCTGCTCTCTCACCTACCCTCACCCATGTAAGTTAGGGCATCCCCATCTCTCTGGGTATCATCAACCACTTGACACTCTGGAACACCCCTCCCTCTCCCACAGCCTAAGGTACAGTCAGTCACCTCCTTGTGTCTCACCTGAGGACATGTGACTTTTCCTTCTTTTCTCTGTTCTCATCTTCCAAGGGAAACCTGGGGTCCCCATTTGAGTCTGAATCCATGGATTACTCCATTAATACAGGAATTCTGCTCATCTCTGGGCTGCAATCTGAGGACAAGGCTGACTATTATTGTGCTGTAGGTCACTGGACTGGGTGCAGTTATACTCACTCACAGTGTCTCAGACCATGAGGCAGTGAGACAAAACCCCTGGGCACAGAAGATATGGCTTATTTTCAGTGAGAAAATTAAGTAGAGGCACGTGTGTCCTTTTTCCAGGGTCCTGGTCCTAGTCTGTGCTGACTCAGCTTCCCACAGTGTCTGGGGTCCTGGGTCAGAGGATCACCATCTCCTGCCCTAGTATCATTTCCAAATCAGGTATGGTTTCCTGTGAATGGATACTAACTGCTCCCAGGAATGACCCCAAACACCTCATCAATGGTAATTACATTACCATTCACTCTCAGGGGACAGAGATTCATTCTCTGCATCCAAGTCTGGCAGGTTTGGCTCCCTCATTATCAATGGACTCAAGGCTGATTGTTATAACTCAGTGTGGCCCAAGGTTCTCAGTGCTAACACGGTTCTCTTGCCCATGGGAAACTGAGTCACATTCCTAGTTACTTCTCTGCTAAAAGCATGAACCACGCAGCACCTAGTTACTCAGCTCTGGCTGTGATTTTTCTTATTCCCCCCTTTATTTTACACTTTTGGCCTGTGTCCTTCCAGGGACACTGTCTGGGAGTGAGGTTCTTTCTCCTCCTTCTATCCTGAGTCATCCAGGCCAGCCCATTTCTACACAAAGAGTCTCAAAGGAAATAGAAATTCCTTGTCCTCAGCAATTGGGGCAGTTTTCTTCTCAGCTCATGTACATTCAATAATTTTCTTCTGATTTGTCAATAAAGGAAACTTTCTTTGGGCTCTGAGTCTCTCTTTGGGTCTCAGCACCATCCTTGCCTGGCTTGATGTGTATGTCAGGTCTGTTTGCATCTCAGAAACAAGATTACCTTAGCTAGAGCCAGATGACCAGATTTTTCATTTTCTGATGTATTCAGGAAATACTTAAAATGATTCCAAAGTAAAAATCTTAAAAGATAAACAAAGAAAACAAACTAAGGAAACAAAACAAAACAATAAGATTCTAGAGAAACACCTACAGGTGAATATTTACAGAAACTATTCATAACACAAAGCATGAAATCAACCAAAAATCTGCATACTGATTTCTATACCAGCTTTTATATAATGAATAAGACTTGAGGTAACAAAGATGTCCTCTAATATATTGTACATTCATTCACTGGGATCTTAATCAAAATTTAAAATAAAGTATCTCTTGAGTTAAAAAAATATACATGAATTTTAAATACATATTTCTCAGGGAAGAAGAACATATAAAAGGCTCATTCTTATCATTGTTATTGTATTACAATTTGGTAGAGCAGGGATATAGAAGTGTTAGGAAGTTAAAGAGGTTAGGAAGAAGAAAGAGGAAGAATTTAGAGGAACGTTAGAAAGTTATAAGTTAGAGGAAATGTTAGAGGAAGGAGGAGGAAGAAGGTGAATGTGTGAAGCACAGTAATTGTATTTACGGTGGTGCCACTCTTGTACATGACACTGTGATGATGGTCACATTACACTGCTGCATAATCACAGCTCACTAAAATCTAGGGCAGAGTAACAGTACCTTAGTGCATGCATAAAAGTCATTTAGGAGATGGGGTGTCCGTGATGGATTGCACAGTGTGACATTATACCATCTGCTGCTACAAATTTGTGAACCAATCTCACTGAAGGGGTGGCACAGAAAGGTCCTGACCTGAGGGACTTTGCAAAGGAGGGGAACCTGTAGGTCCAAAGAGAAAATTGATTGTATATGAGCCCTTTACTCCACATGAGGCAGTTGTGTCCATGGCATAAGTGATCAATAATTGTGATGTTTCTGGTTTGTGCCTGCAATTGAACAGTGAGGTCAATGGTCAGAGATGGTCTCCCTTCAGGAAGGGAAGTTCAAGTTTCTGTGGGTCTCACTTTTCCATATGACATGGTCAGGTTCATGCTTGTGGTTTTATATATGGTTGTAAGTCACACTTCAGCTGCAACCATCAAGAAATTTTGAACAATAAAGATTTATTATTTACAAGACCTGGAAATTACACAGCAGTCTTGGGTCCACATGGGAACGTCATAGGCAGTGGAAAAGCCAGCCTGAACCCTCCCACCAGGAACGTGAAAAGAGACTCAGCTGACAGAATAAGGAGCTGGGGATATGAGACACAGAGAGAGACAGAGAAACCAACTTTTTTGGGTCCCACACTGAGTGTTCACATGGGAAAGTGTGCTAGTGTATCTGGTGTACCACCCACAGCAGTGACTCTGACCAAGTCTGGGTCGTGGGTCACTTCCATTGTTTTTTCTTCTGTCCGTATCTGTCAGTACATGATATTCCTCAGACCACTCATCTGACAGTATCACATGCCTGTGCTCAGTTAAAATTTAGACAAATCCATTGCTAGTGTAGTCTCATTCCGTTAATGTTGCACTGGATAAATTTCATACTCAGAGATAAATGGCTCTTAATGAAGAATTTAAATGAGGATGAAAAAATCGATTCAGGCCATGCCCTCAGGAGAGTGCAGAATGACTCAGAGATGCTTCTGATATTAGTGATTCAATTTGAGGTTGGGACTCAGGCCCCACTTGCGGGTTGGAATTATATTTTCTATTCTAGGATCAACCACCAAATATGAAAATTAGAAGTAACGCTATT